TGTATTATTTATATTATTTGTATTTCTTATATTTTTGTTTTTATCTTCAGCCATGCATTTTGTATTAAATTTTATTTCATTTAAATGAATTGTTCAACAATTCAATGTTTATAGGTCTATAAAAAATGAATTCAGTGATTTATTAATTACAGCCTATTAATACGCAGAATGATAGTAACTCATCTGGGTAAACATTTGACCCTCTTGCTAACAATAGCAATTCATGCCACTTTTTATATTTATACCCACATCGTTTGAGAAATTAAATAATTACCATTTTATTGATCTGCCCATTTAGAATATAACGACAAATAAACAACAAATCAAATTTTTTTCTTTATAGCTTCAATTTATTGGACCAGGTAAGCCAAATGTCAGGATCAATCATTTATAGCAGTTCGCGCACAAAGGGCACAGCGTATTGGGGAACGTACTGGGAGTAGGCGCCGGCATTGCCGTAGGCGGGAGCTGGGGCCGAACAGGGCACGGGTTGCAGCGAGGGTTGGCAGCTGAACAGGTAGTTCTTGGGACACGGTGGGGCTGGAATGGAGGCGGGTGCTGGTGCTGGTGCTGGGGCGGAGTAGGCTGGGGCAGCTGGTGCGGCGGGTGCAGCATAGGCAGGTGCAGCGGGTGCAGCTGGTGCGCCGTATGATGGAGCAGCTGGAGCGGAATAGGAGGGTGCAGCAGCTGGTGCTCCATAGCCACCATAGGCAGCCCTCGACACACGAATGTTATCGGCCAATGGAGCTGGGATCAGGATGCCTTGCGTTGGCTGCAATTGAATCGTCTCTGCAGCGCAGACCACGGCGAGCAGTGTGACCAGAAAGATGTGTCCAATGTTGAATACCATGGCGATAGTTAATGTTGTCTTGACTTGCGATCGAAGTGGAATCGAGTGAGTGACTGTAGTTGATCGGTGGCGAGGCTCTTTGCTTTATAGCCCTGTCGAAAAACGCTGATCACATTGGAAAATCAGAAAATGCCAAAACACCAATAGCAGGCAAAAAGCGCAAAGCCAATAATTTCAAAGTGCTGACGACCCAAATGGAGTTGCAGTTGGGTTTATGATAACCAAGGCGAAGGGTGTAGGGTGAATCTCTGACCGGCTAACACCAATTCCAAATGGCTAACTTCAAGACTCTATTGCTAGTGGTAACATTGCTGAATTCGGGTATTCCAGTTGCAGAAGCAGCTGCAATTGTCGACCCTAAGCCATCTTCGGTCTCTGCTTTGTACAACTTTCTGGAGTCCAATCAAGACGAGCTCGGCTGGACGCAATTCTTGCCGACAAACTTCTACTCGGAATTGAATCAACAACATTATATGAGATTTCGTAGGCACTCCCGGCTACAGCTAAAGGATCTGCGACGAGCTCGCCCATATCCATTTGAATATGCACGTTATCTCTAAATTAATAAAAATTTAAAATAAATAAATAACTAAATTCTGATATTGTTTGTGCATTAAAAAATGAATATTCAAGTATTTCTTAAATAAAGGACCTGTTAAATAATCACATATGTATACATAACATTATCTGAAAGTGAGAAATACAAGTACATATGTATGTATGTATGTATATATGTGTGTATATAAAAGTGTAGTAAAAGTACAAGTTTGTAAGCGACCTATCTCAGAGCTTCACTCATTAAGGCTTTCGATACTGTTAGTTGTGTGCTGGGCCTGTCAGTAGCAAGTTTTTAAAGAGAGCGATACCAACTAGCATAAATGGCTTTTGCAGATTTGTGCTTGTATGTAGCCTCCACCATTGAAATGGCGGCGGTGCTTTTAATCCCGTTATGGCACCTCTCAGCTCAGAGTGCTCATACAAGAAGAAAGCTTTTTGGAATGTGAGGATGGAGTAGTTAAAGTGTATAGCTCACATATACAAATGCAGACTTGCCTGTGGATTAGAAAACATGTCAAGCTATTGAGACAAATTAGTTTGTGAGCGTCTGCTTAATTGATCGGTTGCATCTCGCTCACTACGGCTCCGTCTTTTGTCTTGCGACGTATATTTATATACATATGTACATATTTACCTAATGAAAATCGTGATTTTGTGTGTTTAATATTTGTGTTAAGACTTACATATATTCTCGTATAGTGGTGGTATGTACATTCACATATATATTTAACTATGTATATTAAAAATGTCTATAAATACAATATATACATCCTCATATGTATACATATGTGTGTACATATATAAGCTTTCTGTTACGTATTTATGTATGTACATGCATAGGCATATAAAAGTGCATACACTTTATCCTCATTTGACTTCAGATAAATAAAGGATGACAAAGTGAGAGGGAGAGAGAAAGAGAGAGAGAAAGAGAGAGAGAGAGAAGGAGAGAGAGAGAGAGTGTGGTAAAATTAGAGAGTAATGTGAAATGATCATAAGTAACAAGGATTTTAGATAACTGTTTATCAATGAGCAAAATCAGTAATTAGAAATGTCTTTTCAGGCGAAATATATTTGTATATTGTTTTAAAATGAGCAAGTAAAACTGTAAATTCTTTTATTTTATTTATCCTTCAAATTATAAATTGTACAATTTGTTAGTTATCAACTGTTACTATATGCTTATCGATTAACGATATAAATGTTGCTCCGCGCATGCTCGCGTGGGCGCATTTGACGTCACTAGGACGAAGGACACAACATAGACACAAACAAAACAAATAAGCGACAAACCTGTGGGCAGTGTATCGAACGAAAGTTTTAGTTCTCTTTCAATTTTAATAAAAATCTCAAGATGAAGCTAACGCTCCGTCGTTATTCATGGCTGGTGGCAATGCAACTAACTTTGCTTGCGGTCGATTTGTTTTTCAATGCTTTCGGCTCCTGGCTGTCGCGGGATAGACTTCAAACAGCGATTTTCTTTTTCATGTGAGTGCCAAGACTTGTGCCAATAGAATATAGGTTTTAATCGAAATATATTTGCTTCTATATTCCCTAATCTGCTAAAGCATTCAAGATGCTTTCATTATTATTGAGTATCTGCTGTTTACTTTGGCTCTACATTCGACATGCGTCTACCAGGTGGGGGCCTCCCACATTATCCTGCGCAATTGCAAGCTATTTTTGTTCAGCATTACGGTCTATTTTCTGCTGTCTGCCTCGCAGCACTCCTGGACTATCTATCTGTATCGAGTGTCGCCATCCGAATCCGCTCAGCAATGGCCTTTGGCACTTTACGCCTTGACAGTGCTGCAGCGCCTAAGTAAGTTCCCAAATTTCTCGAAAGTTTTTCATATAAAACCGAATTTTGTATTACTCAACAGTGTCGGTTTACTACTACTACACTTCCAAGTCAACAGCCYTGATTATGGCCGATCCGCGCTATAAGGAAGAGCATCTCGATTGGATAGCCGAGCAATTGGGTGATAAGTAGATTCGTTGGGAATGCTCAGCGGGATTGTACATACATATATAAATATATATACCATATAAAGAGGATTACTTTAGCTAGGCAGCGCCGATTGTTAAAATTAAAAAGTAACATTCAAGTACAATTATTAAATGTACATTAAACAAATATTTAACTGTTGAGATCTTCTTTTTTTACATATTGAAATGTATATTGATACTTTAAAAACAATGTTTAAAACGTTTATAATAATTTTTGTGATTCAAAGTAATCATATCTAAAGTTGATACCCATGGCGCCATCTGTGGTCAGTTTGCCACAAGCAGCGACATCTATTGAACGGTAGATATCAAAAAGTTGCTTAAGTCGCATTGCTCTTACGATTTAAAACTTCTGCGTAGATAATAAAAACATAATATAGGTATCCGTATGATTATGTGAATGTATATGAATATATTTACAAAAATTTTACTTTATTGCATTCAGAGTCACTTACAGCCAATAAATACATATTATATTGCAAAACTTTCAAAAAATGTATGGTATATATAATAATTGGTTATTTAACTATAATCCTACATATTATATCAGCATAAATGATATTCGGTTCGGCACTTAATGGGATAGTTTTTGTTTTTTGAGACAATATGATGAGCTGCACTTTGCGATTTAGTTTAGCCGAAATAAAATTATGTTAAATTGATAAACATATATAAAATATTTTGCTTGGCTTTAATTATGCCTTCTTGGCAATTAATATATATATATTTATTTCGTACGTTATATGAATTATTTTTTGTACATATTTTACAGTTGTATATAAAATAGATATTACACAAACAATTTTTACATATCTCGTCTAACTAGTTACTTAACATCCATATTGTCCATGATTGCAATACTAAA